TCTTTAAAGGTTTAAGATTTAGCTACGAGTCGTTAAAATTATTACATCTTTAACTAGTAACCGCTAGACGACGCCCGGTAGGAGAGTTTAAACTGTGTGCTTGTTGTCGGCAGATGTCGCACCAACTTGCGCTCGGCTTGCTAAAATAAATAAAAAGGTGTCGCCCACACCGATATGAGCTAAAATAACTAAAATTTAAAAAATACCGGCAATTTTATTTATATTTACCAATAATAATAATTTAATAAACCCCAATAACATAAACCATATATTTACATATATGTAAACAAAATCATTTGTGTTCAGTTGTGCATTTTCTCCCATATAAAGTACGCTGACAATTTCGATTGTATTTATGAGAGAAAATGCCTAGCACCATCAGAAAAAAAAAATCATTAAAAATCAACGCGATTTTCTAGCGTCTTGAGGTTTGCACTTTAACCTCCTAAAATTTAATGAGCTACCAAACTGCATACCAAAAATTTTTTTAAAAACTCTTAATAAAAAGTTTAAAATTTTTGGGTGCAAATGTTAAAGTTTGTTGAATTTTCATAGCAGTTTCACCTGTGGATTTATGTGGCGCTGGTTCGGTAGACCTTTATAAAAAAAAATACAAACATTAAACAAACAAAAGAAAAATAGCCAAAACTAGTCAAAAGGTCACTTGACTTAATCAGCTGACCACAAGTGTATATACAAATTTTTATGGAGTAAAATTTAAAGATAATATTCACAGGCAGTTAACATTTCCCTTATCTGTTGCTAGTATTACAGTTGAAAAAGGTTTAAGTAATTAATTTGAAATATATCCACACTTTACGAAATTAAGTGGAATCAAAAAAAAATATGCACACTTTCGTTTGTTCACATACTCAAGCAGGTACAGAAATTTTTTAAAAAAGTTGTTTAAATAATAGTGGGTGAACTTTCTGATATATGTATCTACATGCATACATATGTACACATGTTTTTCTTCCTCAGAGGAGGGAGCATCGAAAGCGTAACCCCCTAAAACCATCAGTATGATACTTTAACCCACTAGATCTCCGACCGTCTATCCACCGGCCATACAAAAGTATGAAATTTAGGGCTGCCAGTGAGTTGAGAAGCTTTCTTCATTTGGGATTAGTCCATTTTACCGCCTATGTTTTAAAACCGCCTGCTATGAGCACTGCGCTACTGGGCTTGGACAACATGCAACAATCGATGTTTAGCGCGTCAAATTCCGTAATCGTTTTATCAGCCGGCTCGGTGATGTCAATCGGCCACTTCTGAGCTGCGATTTGACGCCTTTAGATTTTTTTGTGAGGTGCCAGGAAGGACCGATATTATGCGAACACTGCATTAAGGATACAGGCCCTTATGGCTAGAAACCGTTGGAAAAATGAGCTAATAGGAAGCGCTACTGCGAAGCCAGCCGATACAGTCACCTGAAAAAATTCCAGTTCCATAAAACATATAAAAAGAAACCACTATAAGGACCACCCCGTACACGTGTACATATGTACATATATCTGCATAAAATATGGGTCACTTTCCACTCTCTTTTGTTCGTAAATATGTATATTTTTCAATGCCTATAAAATTTACTTAATACTTAGTATACAAGCCCCCTTCGTCAGTTTTCACCTCCCCCGCCACTGGCTTTGTCTCAAACCTAATTCAGGTATTTATAATCGCCACACTCGAATTATTTCCATGTGCTTGCAATCTGCCTTTTCCGTCTGTGCTTCATCGGCATTCTGATTAATGAGTAATTTGCACACCCCATCAACAGGTGTTTCAGTTTGCAACAGCATAACTGGAGTGACACTTCATCACAGGTTGCTCACTGAATTTGACCCGAAATGATAAAGGAATCTAAAAATAAAACATAACAGCACGTGCTGCCACAAACGACGCCAACCTGAAGGAGGCCCAATATAAAAGTACTCGTAACGCCTTCTGTCCAAATAAAGCACAGCAAACGCTCAACAAGGTCAGACAGAACAAATCAGCATTGAAATGAAGGTACTTGAAGCGCATTGATTTAAAATTTAAATACCATTTATACATATCCGTTACTTACATATGTAAATTACTCTGTTTTTAAAGCTCCACGTTCACAACTTCCTGACTTCAAGCGCTCTTCTTGCGTATATCACTCTCGCCAGCGCTCAGCAGACTGTCTATCCTGCTCTTAAAGTAAGACAGGTTCCCCTGCTCACCAATGGTCAGCTGGGTCTGGTGGTGAATAAAGTGGAATTGGCCGCACCTGTGACAGTGACACGGGATGGACAGGGAAGACCAATTGTAAGGCCGCAGGCGTTGAGCGGACAACCGAGAAATTTGGCGCTGCCTCAGACTTTCGGCCAGCAGCCAAATGGACAGCAGCCGAATAGGCAACAGCCGAATAGACAGCAGCCGAATAGGCAACAGCCGAATAGACAGCAGTCGAATGGACAGCAGCCGAATGGACAGGAACTGAACTCGCAGCAGCCAAATGGACAGCAACCGAGTTGGCAGCAACTAAACAGGCAACAACCGAGTTGGCAGCAACCAAACAGACGGCAACCGAGTTGGCAGCAACTGAACCCGCAGCAACAAAACAGACAGCAGCCGAGCTGGCAGCAGCCGAACTTACAGCAGCTGAGCTGGCCGCAGCCGAGTTGGCAGCAACTGAACTCGCAGCAGCCAAACCTACAGCAGCTTAGTTGGCAATCAGTGTATGGGCTTAATAGTATCATTTCGAAGTAGATCCGAGAGACCAATGACAACTGACTGAAATGTTTCAAATAAAATTATAACTGCAGAAAATACTTGTATTTAAATATCTGCGGCTCAAGATATCAAAATCATACTTCCCAAAAACGCACTTGAAAGGGGACGTTTTTGAGGGATTATTTGAGGGATTATAATCTTAAACATTTGCATTTAAAATCCGATTCCTTATAAGTAGGGATTACAGTGATATGAAAGCTTTCACTTTGGGTAGAAATATTTTTTTTAGTAAAATTGTTAATTGTGACATTATTTTCATAGAGAAGGTGGAGCCGACCAAAGCTCGCTTCTATCAGCTCTTCGAGCGCGATGGAAAATCGTGCTAAGCAATTTCAATAACAGGGTGGGTAAGAAGGGATCTGTGGTCCCACCCTCGTAAAATTTTAGCCTCCACGACGAAACGTTGCATAACGGACTGTGACTTATCAACTTTCCTGAGGCCGGAAACATGCACTAAGTTCCACCATAAGAAGGTCAATCCTCTTTTCGGAATGAAAAATGAGAAACCATTTCGACAAATTGTGATAGATGAATGGCTTCCAGTTTTTAGACTTACGAACAATACATTGACTCGCATAACAGACCGATACAGTTAACAGTTGAGATTCGTTAACGTCTTTGCGCGGCAACAAATGCGAGCGTAGCAACGCAAGCAAAGCTCGACTTCCAAAAGCTGTAATTACAAGAAACAGCCGTTAACTTCGTTACTAGACTCTCAGTGGTACTTTCACACAGTACCGACGGCAAGAAAGTTGTTGGATTTCGGCCAGAAAATAAGCCGAAAAGAGGATGATAAATAAGCATTGATCGAGCGCTGCGCAAACCGTATGGAAGAGCTTCAGGGTATTGAGAAAATAAAATGGACGTAAAATTCGAAAGATGAAAAAAGAAGCTAAAATACATACGTGCGAAGAGCATGACATCTTGCTCGATAGAAGTAGTGCACGAAAATTGTATCTGAATGTTTTGTAACTCATGAGTTGAATGAAGGTTTTAATACCGGAGAGAATTATTTTAAGAGTAGAACGGCAACTTGGTGACTGATGTCCAGAATGTACTCAACTTGGCACTCCTATAACCTGCTGAATTGTAATAGCAGTGATAAGAGTGAAGAGGGTTAACCCGAGCCTTCAGTCGATGACGGCGGAGTCGGTGGTTTTCAGTTCTGAAAAACAAAGCTGCTGGAGCTAGCGGCCTGCCAGTTGATCTTTTCAAATACGGCGGCAAGAAGTCAATGAGGTTCACGCATCAACTCCGATGCAGAATATGTTCGCATATTTGACGACTCGAATTCAAATGTGGTCGACCCAATATATGTAAAAGAAAGGTTACGCCGACCTATGCGTCAACTACCTCGGAATAAACCTTTCGAGCGTATTATGTGAAAGGCTAAACTCCACCGTCCACAAGCTGATCAGACCTTATCGGTGTAGCTTTAGACTTAGTAAATCTACAATATGTCATGCCCGTTCTGATGTATGGTTGAAGGCTTTCAGATAATCTTTCTGCGGAAGGTTTTTGGACCGAATTGAGCCGAAAAATAAGAAACATAGGCTTCGCTGGCTACAACATATTGTTCGAACGTATGCGAATGGTTCAGATGTGTGAGCGTTCGATTTGGTACCCGCTGGTGGTGCAGGTGGAAGGCCTCGTCTCCGTTGGATATGCCAGGTGGAGAGACTTGGCCTCATTTGGCGTTTCCAATTGGCGTCATTTGACAATCAAGAATAAGAAGTAGAAGAAAATTAATTCGGATAAGAAATCATTTCTTTTATTCACAATTCGCTTGGGGAAGGAGAACTGATTTTTATTTTCATGAAGCGGGATATAGTTCAATTTAAATCGGCAGCATCTCGGCAGGCAAGGCGTGCGCCTTGATGTCACACAAAAAAGAGGTACACTTTTATGGCTCCTGCGAACGGAAAATGGTCTTCATGAGAAATTTTTTTCAATGGCAGAAATTGGTTCGTTACTGCCTGTCGAGGGACAACCGCAGTTGGAAAATAATAGCAAGCCTGAATTTATTAAAATACTAGTAGGCTGTAGATACTAAAGAATACTTCAGTAGTTCATCATTTAGTTGAATGCATTTTGAGCGCAAACGTACTACAAAAAACGGATGATGGATAGATATGATCTCGAAACAACTAAACTAAAATTATACAACGATTTTTATTTCTCATAACTATTTTTAATCAGGTTCTTCAACTACAGCATTTCCAGGAAAATCGTATAACAGCTTATTTCTTCAAGAGAGTCGACACAACAGGCGCTGCATATGCAACTGGAGCGACTGAGGCAACTCGGTAAGCTGGAGCAACGGCAGCAACACGAGCAACTGGAGCGCTGTAGACAGCTGGAGCTGCATAGTGTGAATAAGTGGCCACAGCTGGAGCGGCATAGGCAGAGTAGGCGGCATAAGGAGCAGCAGCGTAAGTGGCAACAGTTGGCACTGCGGAGTAAGTCAAAGGAGCTACAAAACCAGGATTAGCCTGGGCAACAGCGAACAAAAGAGCCAAGCAAATGAGGAACTAAAACGAAAAGGATAAGTAAAATTTAATAACGTTGAGTTAGTAAACTATTTAACACTGGTAAACTGTAAAAACTTTCCGAGTTTATTGCTACTTACTTTCATTTTGATTTATGGTTTTATTGGTTTTTGTAGTTTAATACTTTATGACGAATGTCGGCAAACTGATATCGCTGTACTCGGTGCAAATGCTATTTATAGCTAAAACATTTTTGCACTACCTTAGAGCAATAATTCACCCACACTTTGAGGATATTTTTTTGATTTAAGCAAATTCTATTGGAAATTAGCATAGAGAAGCAAGTACAACAATTACAACTTTGCAAACCGGTAATGGCCCAATTTATTTGCGTTTATTTCCTGCTTCTGTACTTATGTACATATGCGTTTTTGCGCATTTCATATGAAGAACTGTTAAATTGTTAAATGGTTTCACATAAGTACATCAAATGATTTCGCTTATGCAGATCAAAGAAACCAAATTGTCGCTGGCAACATTTTACGCAAGAAGTAACAATTTGTGTTAATTATGCTGCTTGTCCTTATGCATGTACATACGTATGTACATTAGGGTGCATCACTCTCCATATCTACAAAAAAAATAGGTACGGGTTTTCCAGCGGACTTATAAAATTTATTTGATTTTAAGACTTCCGACAAAATATTTAGAGAACATATTAAGATTTTTAAGTGCCGTTTCTCAAGTGGGTTTGTAAAATTTATCTGCCCTTCAGACACATTTTTTTCAGAACAAAATTTGTAGTAAAATAAATAATAAATTTATAAATAATAAATTATAATAATACATTTTAAAACCGACTCTAAATATCAAAAAGTAATTGTGCCTGGACCACACTGAAAAAGTGAGACTTACGTTACATATCTAGTTTGTCTCATTACCAATATACATATTTATTAATTTCTTTATTTACATATATATTTATTCACGTACATACATACATCTGCCTTTGCTTAAGGTTATATTTTTCTTTATATTTGTCTTTGTTTTTAATTTTAAGTTTATCATTTTCTTCTTCTATATATTTTCCTTCACCTTTGCCCTTATATAAGTAAAGTGTTTAAATTTACCTTGATCTTCATTTTTGGTTTTATCTTTACACATCTTTGTTTTTGGCTTTGCTTTTATCCTTTCCTTTATCTACATATGTACGTACTCACTTCTTTCATTCTTGTTTTGGTCTCTTTCTAAGTGTTATTCGTAAACCTTTTATTAGCAAGTTTTTGTTAAATTAATACCATGTGCATACACTCAAGAAGCACTTGATTCCGTTCCAACCATTTCCGTATCCAACTTCCGTGTGCAATTTCTGTTGCACCATTTCCTTGTGCATTTTCCGTTGAATTTGCCAATTTACTCCCAAAAAAAACTAACTTCCGCTAAAGAAGTTTCACTTCAATAAATTTTATTATTCCGGTGGAACAGCCGCAACATTTTTTGGTGAGACACTCTAATATACATAAGTATGTATGTATGAACTTGATTCTACACGGTCGCACTTCCGGCAGCAAGTAATCAATCTGCAATCAGTGGCACCAGCAATGAGCTCCATAACATTATTAACTAATAACGAGCAGGCAGTACATTGGTTTTGGACTTAAATGACATATACATACATACATATATTTGGCAACAATGTACTCGTATTAACAGCAGAACGAATGTGACAGTTGTCAACAGTATTGTATTATTTGATTTGTTATGGTTCATTAGAAGAAAAACTACGTACATATATATTTAAGAGCTAAATATTAATAAGTTGACTCACCTAATATTAATAAATAATTACATACAAGCGTACAAATTCACAATAAAATTTGAGCCGCACTTCATTCTGTAAACGTATGTTAGATTTGTAGTAGTTTCATCTTATGATTTTATTTTTGTTGTCAAATATATGTAGCTAAATTTACTATAAATCGACGCAGTCAAGCTAAAGCAGACATCAGTCCTACACCAATTGTTAACAAATCAAAAACACAAACCTACTCTAAAAAAAAAAATGAAAGTAAGTACAAATTTAATTGAACTAATTTTAGCAGTTAAAAAGTTTTGGCTCTTTTCCTTTGCAACAGTTCCTCATCTGCTTGGCTCTCCTCTTCGCTGTGGCCCAGGCCAATCCCGGTTTGGTGGCTCCTCTGACCTACTCGGCTGTGCCTGCGGTTGCCACTTATCCTGCTGCTCCCTATGCCGCCTACTCGGCTTACGCCGCTCCAGCTGTGGCCACTTACTCGCACTATGCTGCTCCAGCTGTATACAGCGCTCCAGTTGCTCGTATTGCTGCCGTGGCTCCAGCTGTACGAGTTGCCTCAGTCGCTCCAATTGCCTATAGCGCTCCTGTTATTTCGACTCTGTTAAAGAAATAAATATATGTACATAGTTTTGTGAATGATTTGGTTTTGTTACCTACGCTGCATTGTTAAAGGACCTGAAATATATTGTTAAGTAAAAAAGGTAAAATCAGTTTACTATATTTTCGGCCAAGAAAGCTAAAAATGTTGTACGGTCAATTTAAGGTCAAGACGCGCTAAATTGTCGATTTGTTGCATGGCTTTCAATTATTTTTCAATATCGGAGGGCCAGTGGCAGGAAATGAAAATTTGGTTTGCAGGACTCGCTGGAGTTGTGAAGCCGCCGTTACCTAAAAAACAAGCAAACGTAACTTCAGGACGTCAACTGAGTTTTGCCCCGAAGTTAGTATTTACATAGACATCGCAGTTAAACCCCAAAACGATTGTGCTGCCTTCCTTCAAAACTTCTTTCTTGCAGAGGGCTAAGTTTTCTGTTTATCATTTTTGTTTAACAGTTTAAACCGTTAAGTGCAATTTTTTCGAAACGGGTCAAAAAGACCCCTTCTAGTAGTAGCTAGTGGGCTAAAATGTGTTATGAATAGTCTTGTTGCTGAATTGTACTATAGGTCTTCTAAGGCAAGAGATATATTTAAAATAATTTTGAACATAAAATGGCGTATTATAAAATTTTTTATTATTATTATTATTATAAATTATATTCAACAAAACAAATTATTATAAATTTGCATCAAAAAGTCTAAACTTTAACCCTCCGGGCAACAGATTCGTAGCACATCATACGGAGCTTCCTCGATCTCTTCAAGTCTCATTTTGCGCACAAAATGTTTGTGTGCGTTGCAAGTTTCAACTATATCCCCTTATCTGAGTAGAAAAAATTTTTCATATTGAGCTTGCAGGTAGCGAGCGGCTTGCCAAAGCTCTGCCAAGACGGCGAAAGTGACAAGCTCGTCCGCCATCTCATTGCATGTTATACCGGTATCCATACCAGGTAAAGAGTGAACTGCTCTGCCATCATGTTTAGTAATCTGCGGCACTTCACTACACTTTCCTATTACTATGACAGAATTCTTAGCTTTTAGAACCACCCGGCTGTCTGATCAAATGCAGATATTTCATTCAACCGATTGCTTCTGTCTTTAAACATTCGGCAAAGTCCAATATACTTCGGCTTGAAGGTGGCTAAAATGGGACGGTAGGTGGAATGACTTTTGTACTCCTAGTGATACCTAATCAGCGTTAACAGATTTTTTTCAAAAAACTGTAAAATTTCTGGAAAAGCTGTATTTTCGACCAAAAAAGTTGTAACCTTCAAAAACGTACAGTTTTTTTTTTAATCAAATTTAGTTTTATTATTTTTTGTAAGTTGCTTTGTAAATTTTTGTTGCAGAATTTTTCTTTCAAGATTTTCTGTGACGCGTGGAATGCAAAGTACAGCTGAATTAATTTTTTTTTAATTAGGAAACGCTGCTTCTTCATCGTCATTTATTGGCTTAAAAATTTACTTAGGAATTTAAACAAGTGCAAGCTTGTCTAAAAATCTGTGTAGAATCTGGCAACATTGTTCCCTATACACTCCTCCTTCGACTTTGTTTTCCATTTTGGATTCATTAGAGCTGAACTGAATATATTCCATGGGTCCATGAAAGGCCTGTTCAGCCTTATTAAATTATACACTACTCAAAGTAATATTCGAAAGGGATGAGCAGCAACCGGGTTGGTTCCCATAGAATATTAGTCAGAGTCCCTGCGCAAAAATCTTTCGAAAATCCTAAAAAATACAGAGAAGAAAATTAAACTAAAGGCGTGAATGTTTTACAAAAAACAAAATCGATTGAAGCGAAAATTTGTGGTTTAATTTTTCCTCCGTAAGGACTGTTTCCAGCTCCCACGAAAAACGAAAAAATCATATAAAATTACACATAAGAAATGGAAAAGAAGTTTTCGCAAATCAGTTTGAAGCTCTCGGAAAAATGCTCGTATATAAATTTCTACAAGGAAATTTACAGCAAAAGTACAGCCCTTTTTCAAGCAACAGAAATAATGAAAAATATTTCTTGCAATTTTTCTTGGGAGTTGGACTTTAAGCTTTTCAGAGGGAAGGAAAAGCATAGAGTATAGTTTTTTTGTATCGACAAAAGTGGTCTACTTGTGAAGCCCACATAAATAAATGAATAAAATTCTAAATTATTTATTGCTGTGTTAAAATCAAACTATCCTTTATTCTAAGCATTTTTTCTAAATATTCCAAATTCATCAACGAGTCTTAAAAATTTACTTCTTCTTCAACAAAGTGGACACAACTGGTGCGGAGTAGGCGACTGGAGCACCGTATACAGATGGAGCAGCATAATGAGAGTAACTGGCCACAGCTGGTGCAGCGTAAGCAGCATGCGAGTAGGTAGTGACAGCGGGTGCGGAGTAGGTCGAGTAAGCGGCATAAGGAGAGGCAGCATAAGGAGAGGCGACGTAGGTGGCATAGGCGGGCACAGCAGCGGCCGAGTAGGTCAAAGGCGCCACCAAACCGGGATTAGCCTGGGCAACGGCGAAGAGGAGAGCCAAACAGATAAGGAACTGCAAGGAAGAAAATAGGGAATAAAAATGTTCAAATATTTTGTACTTTGTTATAACTTACTTTCATTTTGTTATAGTAGTTTGTTGTTAATTGGCTGCTGCGACTTAACTGATATCAATTATGAGTTCTCAAGCATAATTTATAGCAAAATCACATTGCAAAGCAAATCAAATTTGTTCGTGTAGATTGGGGAATAAGAATACGCCTACGATTTTGAATAGCCGTAAGCACTGAATTAAATGTTCACACATACATACACACTCGTATCTACATAGATAACGGGTG